TAACAATCACATGTAAAACTGAAAAAATTACCGTAATTTTACATGTGTTCTGTTAAGGCTTTTCTCAGGGCTGGAAATCACAAAGCACCGTACTTCACATAATGAAAGCCATCACCTGACAAGTGTCTATGACATTTTGTATTTTGTTCCTCTATATAGAATGGATGAGAAACAGTTGAAAGCAAGCTTAATGAAGTATTTCGGAGAAGCAACAGCAAAAGTAACTAAAGAAACAACCGAAGATGAAATCAAACGTATCTATGCTGCACGGTCAGCAACATATGACGAGGTACTCTAAAATAGTAAAATAATAATAATATGGGTCTGGGGGACGATGTGGCACATTGCCGTTTGAACCACCGGACACCTGATCCATCATTCGAATGTTCCAGTACTACCGGAAAATTCAAAATTTCATGAGCCCGTAGGGCTAATGCAATTTGTGGTCTTTGAAAATTTACAAGTGCTTATTTCTTCCAAATGGTACGAGAAAAATCATGTGATTACGTATTAATAATAGACATGAAAAAAATACGAGACAACTTATCATGATTATGCAGAAGCAAAGCGCGCGCACCAAGTGCAAAAATAATTTATTCAAACCCTGCGAGCGACATTGTGCGTTCAGTCAAAACAACTGCGAACGATCAAAACAATAATATACAACGATATTTTCACATCTTTAAGGGGCAAAAAAGTTCAATATCCGGCTAAACAGTTGAAGGAATTGTTAGGTCTGGTTTGCTACTTCTTTGCACTGAATTAACCCTCTTCTGCATTGAATTACCTGAAAACTTCATTTATCTTAACCAATCATAACTGAGTACTTTTTTAATGTACCTTATTAGCTTAAGAACTAGTTAATTATACCTTGTTCCCCGATATTTCCTTTGTTTAAGTTCAATTTTTTTGAGGAGAAATCTCGATTTTGATTGAAAACAGATCAGCTTTTCGGGTCCGTAAAGTTACTGAAGCTCTCGAGGAAAAGGGGCCTGATGCGACACTAAACTAGTGCCGTAATTATCGAACATCTTATCTTAATAACCGGCTTGGATTTTCCCATCATGTAGGAACATTCAGCGGCGCGCGCTATATATTTCAAGCCACTGGCCGAATCTTTGCATGAAACCCTTAGCGAAGTTTACCAGAACAAGGCAAAGGATCAGATCAAAATCATCGACGCTGGAGCTGGGACAGGGCTGATTGGAGTTGAGCTCAAGAAACTCGGATACACCAACCTATGTGCTCTGGACATCTCAGCTGAGATGTTAGAGGAAGCAAAGAAGAAAGAGGTCTATATTGAGTTCATGTGCACGTCTTTGAATGGGCAACCGATACCTCAGATTAAATCAGGGCAATTCGATGCTTTGATTTGTGGTGGGGCGCTCATTACAGGACGTATCGCCTCATCTGCTTTCGTGGAGATGATAAGAATGGTTCAAACTGGTAGGTCTTTCCTAGGAGTTTACTGAGGCACAGATATAATTGACCCATGGATGTCTGCGGGGAGTCTGTTCTATGGCTAATTGTTGGACTTGACACAAAAACAATTATTTGGTCGCGGTTCCTAGGCATCTGTGATTGAACAAATTTGTTCACAATGTCTTGAATCTTTCAAACGCTGTTTAAAAAAACAACTACAACAAGAACGGACACTGGCCTTTAAGCATCATACTTTGATAAACCTTTTAGGAAATAATAATGTTTTTTAACAAAAATGAAAAAAGAATGATTTTAGATCGAGGACTTATCAGGATTGTAAAAAAAGAAAAACGTGTAAAATCCTCTGGCAAATTTTTTGCTTGGTTGTTTTTGTTTTTTGAAAACTCAAACCGTGAGATAGATCAGGTAGTGAAGACTCACCTAACACCCTTCTTGATAAATTCCCATAGCATCTGGCATCTGACCCGTAAATCTTCTTCTGGGGTCAAATCTTCTCTCTACAAATTCGTTTAAAAGAATTTCTTGATATATCAAGAGCACGCCCTTAAGCTGGTTCCTTCAACTTCTCTTTGGATGATATTACAGGTTATAGGTTGACCCCTTAACTCCTATGAGTGACCGAGACAGAATTTCTCCTTACAGTATCAATACGATATCAAACAAACAAGTAATGGGAAAAAAAAAAGAAGATGTCAATTAGGGTGTTATTGGTTAATCCAACACCAAATTCTCCTAACTAACACTATAGGGAATTGTATGACAG